CTGGAGTGTCCAGTCAGTGTGTCTGTATAAACCCCTCTCTCTCCACTCCAGGCTCTCCCTCTACTCTGCCAGTCTCACTCAGTGGGGGTGCCAGTCATTGTCAGGGATATGTGCGCATATTCTACCATAACCAGTGGCAGCCAGTTTGCCCCGCTGACAACAATGTAAACCACTGGATCTCCCAGAATGCCAAGGCAGTATGTCAGTCACTAGGATGTGGGAACACAGGAAAGGAGGCACCACTACCTCAGGGACGAGGCAGTAAAGTGAAGGGGATGACATGCGCCAATACCTCTCTGTCACTGACAAACTGTTTCCACTATCTGGAGCAGAGCGAGGGATGTTTAAACATCAGTTTAGTCTGCCAAGGTAAGACTCTTCACCTTTGCTCTCCCCTGTTCACCACTCTTCACTACTGCTCACTCTTTTTACCACTCTTCAGCACTGTTCGCTATTGCTAACCACTGCTCCATTGCTCTCCACTCTTCACAACTGTTCACCTCTTTTCAGCACTGCTCCCCATTGTTCACCACTGTTCACCATTTTTCACCACTGCTCACTACTGCTCACACCACAATGGCTACCTGTCTGGGAGACATAAGATCAAACTATTAAACAAGGCACGCTGGGCGTTAATGATCCAAAATGAGTCTGAAGCATATCGCGACTTTCTCATGACTCCTGTTAAATCCGGACCTGCTTCTCACCTGTCCTGAACAGGTCTGATTGGGCTCAGAACAGGGGGGGACATTGTTACCCCACTGTTCAGCCTAGTTTGGGAACAAATTCCTTACAACGTTTGTTGAGTCTATTTTTGTTGGAGACTGTAGCAGGGAGATTTGGGTTCTCAAAGCTCAGCTCTGAAGATCATGCCAGTGGCTTCCTTTTATAGACCACTGCCAATACCTTTTCCTTTGAAAGAATAAAACCTTGTGCTAGGTACAGAATACATCTGGAACAGACATGCACACTCATGCATCCCTTTGGACTGGATGTGTTTTTACACATCAGCACAGAAAAAATAGTTTTGAACCACAGACATGCCTGGCTGCTCAGACAATGTGATGCCAGCTCAGCTCAACTTCGATATCTCCCTTGAAGCCTATGTTGCCAGAATACTGGGGAGGCTCTGATCGGTGCTCATATTAACAAAGCTTTTCTCTGCACCCCTCCCAGAACATCCTCATTATTTTATCAGAAGCTTCACCCTGATGGTCAGACTGCTTGTGCTCTTGAAACCAAGGGTCAAATTAAATGCAGATAGCGGGGCTTATAGGTTTTAATGTATCTCCTTTTTACACTTCTTCAGTTCAAACATCAGCTGCGCATGTTGATCAATCAACTGAATAATAAGTAACTAACAGTCAAATCTGTTGATTGTCGAGTGCATGACAGGACATAATTGTTATGTAGCATTGTGCATGTGTGGTCCGGTGATCATCTCCCAGGCCTGGGCACAGTGAAACTGCATTCACCCAGCTTAAACAGCAGAGTGGGGTGCCTGAGTGCACACAGCACTGCCTCACACTGTCGCAGAACCACAGCACAGGGCCGGGCTGGGCCGGGCCAACATTCCTGAGTTGGTATCCCAGCCAATCATTCTGACGTTCCTGGGGGGGAATTTCAAGCTCTTCTGCGTCTGAGAACAGGAATCTGTTTTCCCCCCCAGTTCATCAGGATAAATGCACTACAAAGTGAGGCGAAGTTCTGTCTTCACAGCACATAGCCAAAGACAGCGCTTCTCTGTATCTCATTATTTTTGCCTGGCCATAAATTAATTAACTGTCAAATATTTTTGCAGCAAATTGTTTAACCTAAACTAACTAAACTGACTAAAGTTTGCATTATCAAATCGAGTTTAGCTGGGTTAGTTTTAGCTGATGTACTTAGTGTTACACATTCCGGAGTTAATGTACTGTACTAATTAATGTACTAACTCTCCCTCTCGTCAGAACACATGGAGCCCAGTACCAGAACGCTGGTGTTTCTCCAGGTCTTCTCGGTGTTGCTGTCCATGCTTCTGCTGTCTCTGATTCTGATCAAGTTTGGACCTCGGACCTACCATAAAATCAGCAAAAGATGTGAGTTTCCAGGTGAACTGCTGGGCTCGCTCTGGGCGTTCTGGCCTGTTGAGTGACGTGCTGCTGTGTGTCTTCCAGTGTCCGAGAGGAGAGAGAGGCAGTGGATCGGGCCCACGCAGAGTCACAGTGGTGAGTGGGTGTGTTCGGCTCCCTGACGGACCATCACTAAGCTGGGCTCCCTGCTGGCAAGCGAGCTCTGCTCTGCTGGTCTGACTCCTGGACCAGTGCTGGAGGGAGGAACGGGCCAAGTCAGAACGTTACTGTAGTGTTCTGACTCCTGGACCGGTTCTGGAAGGAAGAACAGGTTCAATCAGAACCTTGCTGTCCTGTACTGACAAATGAACTGGTACCAGGGAGAGAGGTAGCAGGTGTCGGTATGAGTGTTTCAGCCCGCCAGACCCCAGCAGCCCCTTGACCCGCTGGTGGTGGTGCTGGTGCTGCCCTGGGCCGGAACAGGCCCCGCTTGGACTTTCATGCTGCGGCTCCTGGCTCAGTGATGCGAGAGTCTCCAGAGAGCCTGTGGCTCCCTGCCCCTGTCTGTCAGCCTTGAGAATGTTCCAGGACTGACCTCTGTCTGTGTGTCTCAGTGTCTTTCTACAGAGCGCAGAGCGCAGCCCAGGCCAACAGCACAGACAACAAACAGAGACTGTCTTTCCCAGGTGAGAGCACTGCCCACAGACAGCACACACAGCACACGCTGCCCACAGACAGCACACACTGCCCACAGACAGCACACACTGCCCACAGACAGCACACACTGCCCACAGACAGCACACACTGCCCACGCTGCCCACAGACAGCACACAGTGCCCATGCTGCCCACAGACAGCACACAGTGCCCACGCTGCCCACAGACAGCACACACAGCACACACTGCCCACAGACAGCACACAGCACACACAGCACACGCTGCCCACAGACAGCACACAGCACACACAGCACACGCTGCCCACAGACAGCACACACTGCCGACACACAGCACACACAGCAAACGCTGCCCACAGACAGCACACAGTGCCCAAGCTGCCCGAAATACACAGACAGCACACACTGCCGACACACAACACACGCTGCAGAGACAGCACACAGACAGCACACGCTGCACAGACTGCACACAGACAGCACACGCTGCAGAGACAGCACACAGACAGCACACGCTGCAGAGACAGCACACGCTGCACACACACAGCACACGCTGCCGACACACAGCACACACAGCACACACAGCACACACACTGCCCACA